AGGGGCTGAGTAGGTGACCTTTTGGGGCTTATATGATCCTACTATAATTCAAAAGGTTAACCCTTTTTTGGGCTAGGGTACTCAGCCCCTAGGCTGTAATGCTGTCAGTGTTTCTTTAAGGTAAACATCAGCCTCCAGGCGGGGTCTGAGGGCCCTAAACACTATTGGCCCCTGATCCCCTAAATCCTAGATCCTATATGCCCCCGCCCCAAGAGATCCACAAAATCCCCCGGTTGCCTCTGGAAGGAGCCTAAACCCTAAACCCTAAACCCTAAACCAGGAGAAGGAGGCCGAAATCGAGAATCTGCCGCCTTTTGCACACGAGGGCGCCCGTGAGGAGCTTCTCAGGCCGGGAGTTCTTGTAAGGGCCTTGGTTTAGGGCCTTTAGAGTTATAGAGTTTAGGGTTTAGGGGATTTAGGGTTTAGGGTTTAGAGTTTAGGGTTTAGGGTTCAGGGTTTTAGGGTAGGGTTTGCGGTCCTACCAATAAGTTCAATCCTTACCTCAGAACCCTATAACGACTTGTTGTTAGAGGAACCCCCTAAACTATGGTACTACAAGGGTTGCTACAGGGCCTATTCGGCTTAGGGCTGAGGGTTGGCAAAAGGAGCCGTCAGGTTTGGCTACCGTCAGGGTTCTACCCTCCCAGAGAACCCAATACCCTTTAATTAAGGAAAAGGCCTTAAATTTTAGGGTGCCTTATTTTTATGATTTAAGGTATATTCCTTAGTTAAAGGGTATTGGGTTCTCTGGGTGGTTGCTTTCAGGATCAGAGGCTTAGGAGTTTGAGGCTTGTCGCTTAAGCACGAAAACAGAGAGGGCTGGAGGTTGGTAGTTATTCCAGAGCCAAGCTGGTTGAGGTTTTGTAAGCTGAAAAGCTCAGGCTTCGGGGTGTCACAAGGTTTAAAACATGGCAAAGCAGGGGGGGTGTGAAATTCTGGGCTTTCGGGCTTGCGGCTTGGCTTGGGAACATCTGAAAGAACATGAATGATTGTGTCAGCATGACTTCCGGCCCCCAACCACCAATTCCGAACCAGGGTGCACCGTTAAGTGCCCTGAAAGCCGGCGCAACACCCCTTCATCAACTGATGAATGACGACACCGGCGAAAGAAAGTTACGCCGAACTAGGAATGCATGCCGTTCTAAGACATACATACATATATATATATATACATACATACATACATACATACATACATACATACATACATACATACATATATATACGGGTAGGTAGGTAGGTAGGTAGGTAGGTAGGTAGGTAGGTAGGTAGGTAGGTAGGTAGGTAGGTAGGTTGCATACATGTATATATATATATATATATATATATTTATATGTATATGTTTATTTGTATGTAGCTACATGTATACAAGGTTACATGTACAGAACGGGCGTGTACCTTATATAATGCGAGAAAATCTGGTGAAGCCTTCCTAACGCCGTTAAACAGACACTTAGAACTCACTTGCAAATTACCGCAACACCCGTTTATGAAACTTATAGTAAGCCCATGGGACGTCTTGGACTGCCAAGGCTCCGGCAACAGATTCAACAGGCCCAGGCACGAGTCCACGGTTTACGGTCTAGGATTTAGCGTGCAGGCTTGAGGGTCTAGGATTAAAGATAGTATTCAGGGGTTTGTAGTGACACTCATGCTTCTTGTCCGCCGATGTAATTGTAGAAGCTCCGAGAACATGAGAAAGGAGGAGAATGATGGTGGCATTCACGGTGTAATGTTCGAAAACATTGTATCACGTGGCATCATCAGAAACTAGCTGCGACTACTACAACACAAAGCGTGTTGATCCGGTATGGATTGATCATGTCAGTTTTCACACATAGCAGAGTTTAGGTGTCTGAGCTTGCTTACAGGACACAGAAAGTCTGTTCGTCAGGTCCTCTTGACGCTGGCGTGAGGTTCAACATGATGGTTTGTTTCGGGTGCCGGCTTTCTGAGACAACCCACAACATCACTAGGAATGTTGTAACCACGCCACAACAAAGAACATGCAACTTCCACCGATGCCTGTGTGTCAACTCACCGCGACAGTGCTTGTTGCACTCTGGAAGCGGCGAACCCTAGTTACCTTAAGCCCTAAACCCTACCCTAAACCCTAAGCCCTAAACCGCCCGAATTAAGGTGTGACAGGGATGTTGTGGGTGGAAAAAGGGGCTCAAAAAAAAATCGCCCGAATTACCATGTTTATTCCAAGAGAAACTCGACAAGGGCCCTTGCAAGACTGAGTTGGATCGGGGAGCAGGTTTGCAGGAGACTCGGATACGCCTTGCTTAAGCCATGTTTTTTAGGACGTTAACAAGAAGCTCTCTATAGTTTTAAGGGTACTCCTTGATCAACGTTGTTACTTTGTCATGGCCTCTCCTTCCTTATTATAACTATAGTATAAGCAACCCTGGCCCTATTAACCCCAATATAAGATAGGGGCCTTAACAATTAGAGTAGGGATTGGGGGTAGGTTATACTATAAATACTATAAGTAACCCCCCAAAACCCTATTCTAACTATTAAGGCCCCTACAGTAGGACTTATACCTTGAACAGGGTGGACTCGGTAGCTCTGCAGTTTTCCAGGCTCTTGCTTTTCGTTTAGGGTTTAGGGTTTAGGGTTTAGGGTTGAAAGAGTTTCTGGTGCAAAGCTCTCAAGTGCAAGGTGACGCTGCAGCCGCTCAAAACCACTCGCCAAGACTGGGAACGACGGTGCGCCCAGAATGGGCCTCTGGACGGTTTTCCTGAAGGGTTTCGTAGTTTAATTTGGATGGCTTTGGGTTTAGGCAATGGGCCCAGTGCCCCTTCACGAAGGGTTTCTCGCTAGGTACCCAGAGATCCCAATACCCCTTAATTGAAGAAAAAACCTTAAATCATAATATTAAGGCCCCAAAAATTTAAGATATATTCCTTGCAGCAATTGAGTGGTATTGGGTTCTCGCGAGGTATCCCAGCTAAGGAATACGACAGTCAGTTTCTGTATCCCTACAAGAACAGGGTCCTGTCGAAGCCTAGACCCTGATGGGAGCCCCCAGAGAGTCGAGCACCCCTTCATCAGAGACTTGACTTTAGGGTTTAGGGTTTAGGGTTTAGGGGTTTAGACTTCAGGGTTTAGTGGTTTAGGGTTTAGGGTTTAGGGGTTTAGACTTCAGGGTTTAGTGGTTTAGGGTTTAGGGTTTTAAACTCGAATATGGGGGCCTTAACAATTAGAATGGGGTTTTGGGGTCCTTTTATACTACTAACTATACTACGAAGCCCCCAAAATAGTATTAGTAAATACTTAGGCCCCTACATTACGCGGCATGTTGTCGTGATTAAGAATTGATTCTTCATCTGCGTTATCAACGATGCGGTATTTAAACCCAAACTGTGTTCCCTAAACCCTAGACCCTAAACCCTAAACCCTTGTTCAGCGCTGTCTCTTCGCCGCCTGAAGCCATTGACATCCTCAATGCACCCATGCAGGACCCTGCGTGGCATATTAGGGTTTAGGGGTTAGGGTTAATTCTTGGGCTCTCTGTGTCTGCCTGTTTCTGTTGCTGTCGAATTCTGATCCTGAGCCTAAACTCTGCTCCCATTTGCAACCATCAGTCGAACCCCAAAAGAAACCCTGAACCTTAAACCCTGAACCCTAAACCCCAAACCCTAAGCCCCAAACCCTGAATCCTAAACCCTGAACACTAAACCCCTAACCCCGAACCCTATATTCCGCGCAGGCGAACGAGCCAGAAGGTCATCGCGCAGGTGGAGCAAAAGCTCGTGCTTGCAGAGGTGGGTTGGGAATCGGGAAAGATCCCGAAACCCCTAAACCCTACGTAGAACCTAAACTCCCTAAACCTTAAACCCCAAAACCAAAAATTTATCTAGGCTTTAGATGTTGGGGTGTAGGGTATTCTTGGCGAGTTTAAGTTTAAGCTGCGGGGCTCAGGGACGCAAGATGCAGGGTATGGGCTGCGAGAGAGTTGGGGTTTGGAGCAAGGGCACTGGATCTGGGAGTATTGTCGGGGCCTTGACAATTTGAATAGGGTTTTCGGGTCAGCTATACTATAATTAGAATAAGGACCCCCAAGATAGTATTGGTAATTACTGAGGCTCCTATATTACCCCGGGCCGGTTCCACAGCCCTTAAAATCTAAGTCTAACAACCCTCAACTCTCCCGCATCTGCCCGGAAACACTTGCAGAATGTCGTTGCACACCCCTTGCGTGGTAATATAGGGGGCGTCGTAAATAATTACCTTTTTTATTCCTCAGGCTCCTTATTCTAGTATACTTGTAATAGTTATACTATAAGGGAGACCAACATCCTATTCTACTTGTTAAGGCGGCCCCTACATTACCCCACTGCGTATAGAGCTCATGTGGCTTGTGAATGCCATATTGGGGCCATACTCTATGTTAGCGGTACTGTTGATGTTTTTAATTTATAGGGTTAGGGTATTTTGGGGGCTTCCTTATTATCGGTGTTCCTTTCTATAATGATAGTATAATGGGCCCCCAAAACCCTATTGGAATTTTCAAGGCCCCTATATTGTGTTAGCAGCACTACTGATGATGTTGTTTATGCCCGGCAGAAAACTAGGCACAGGACGAGCGGGTGCAGTAGATTCTTCGACATGGGTCCACACCATGAGCTCGGGCGAGTATATCACGCCACCAAGGCGGATGCAGATTACCACTCCAGAAGCCCCTCAGAGAAGGAAAAGATAACAGCCATGAGCCTGGAAGCAGGTCTCGTGTTACCTCCATTTTTCCGATTGCGGCGAGAGCTACGGCGACTTCGGCCACTACAATCGCAACGGCTACGGCTACTGCTCCGGGCGCAACGGCGGCCGAGATCGTGCGGACCCCACCAATGAAGCCAAAGACAGGCGGGCCCTAGACAGACCCCTCGACCCCTAAACCCTAAACCCTAAACTAAACCGTAAGCCCCAAACCCTAAACCCTAAACTCTAAACTAAACCCTAAACCCCGAATCCTAAACTAAACCCTAAACCCTAAACCCTAAACCCCAAATCCTAAACTAAACCCTAAACCCTAAACCCTAAACCCTAAACCCTAAACCCTAAACCCCAAACGCAGACTTCGAGCCTCCACAAGGCGAGATCGCGCAGGCCCTGCGTGGCGAGGCGGCATCT